CAAAGAGCCTGGTTCCTTGGTTTGTTTACATATTTCTTGCCCCGGGTATCTTCATTTCAATTTTTGGCCTTCAGCACTTGACTGCATAAAGAATTCCAAACACAAGCATTGGTAGTAGAAATGCTGACACAACTGAGCTGTCACGCCCAGAATATATTGTTGAATAGGTCTGCAGAAGTGCCTGGATCCCATACCTAAGAGCAGGTGAAGAATAAGGCCACCGTTTTCAGCTTCCAAGAAGAGGAGCATACAGATAGGCAGATGTGCCCTGTTTCTTCTGTCTGATCCTTTGATCCTATTTTTCCTACTTCTCATATATGTGCTTATGGAAAAAACACACAGGCACATACCTATGTGCCCACCTGCCCCAAAAGTGGTTGGATCTTAATAATCATACCTATCAAGGCCAGTTAGACATTCAGTGTATGCTGCTGTTTCTTACTTGGCCTGGGAGAGTTTCATGTCATGGATGCCATCATGTGATCTGAGGAAGAGGACCAGCAGTTGGGCTTATATAATACAAATGGTCAGTCTACCATAAAATGGGAGCTTGAATTTGTTTTGTCAGAGGAGGAATGTTTTTCACAGCCATCTGGTGAGTTAAGAACAATAAACAGAATCACCCGGTGAGCATGTTGTATTTGACTCTGTTGATGGGATTTAGGTATGGAACATCAATTTTCTGTACAGACATAATTGAGTACATATTACCATGATATGAAACCAGGCAAGAATAGTATGGTGTGTGGGATGTTACATTTTAAGAAATTTAATGAAGCGGAAAGTTAAAAAAACCTGGAAACAGATGCAATAGGTGAAATTTGTTTGAATTTTTTGCTCCAAGTATATGTGAAGCAGCTCTTTCTCACCTGTACTCATGTAGAAATGCAAAGGCAAATAGATGATTTTCACGTGTTGCCATCTTCCCTTTGAGGCTAATTTTTTTTTTTAACAAAGCAGTAACACCTAAAGGACAGGTAGAGCCTCAGGCCTGGGGTAAGGCTCTTGGTTCATTCCAGCTTCCTTTCTTAGGTCCCTGAGTCTCTGTTGTCAGCAAGTCCAAGGGCCTCTTGTATTTAATTCCATCAAGAGAGAAGGGGGTTTTCTCCCATAGCCTGGCTCATAGTTACTCCTGGGAAAAGAAGAACAGTCTGGTTGACAAATTTGTCCCCAGTCTAAACTGATCAGAAATAGCTGGCATGGTGAACACCTAGTTAGTGGAGGTCAGCAGTGGGTCAGGTGGTAATTGTTCAGTGCCTCATTCACTGGCGGCAGTGGGAATTGCTGCCGTATAAATTGGCTTTAGGGGACAAATTGATCAACCAAAAGAGGTTTAAAGATTTTTAGTGTTCAGGTTACTGACAAGGGTTCCAACTCTCTGGACTAAATGATGAAATGCACAGTGGTTGACTCTTTGCTTTCCTTTAGATTTGGGGACTTCTCACCAACCCCTTCTCAGCAACCGTGTTTTTGTTCTCCAGGCTGCTTAGCTAAGACAGAGCTTTTGATCTTGCCATTGTAATTCACAATGGCAGTGAAACTTTTTTTCTCTTAATAAGCCGGGCTGCCTTTGTCCTTGCCTACTCTGGGCCTTTTAGCACCAGTTACACCAGTTACACCTGCACCCATCAGCTACACCCCAACAGTTTGGGGATCCCAGCATGTGGTTGCTGCTGGCCCTGGTGGGCTCTGGGCTCACAGCCCTGCTCCTCCCACCTCCTGGCCTCACACTTCCTCCTGGGATTCCACTCACCTGCCTACCCAGAGTGAGGCAGTGAGACTAATGAGAAAGGCCTGGGGAGTAATGAGGAGATTACATGGCATGTTCTGGATTCCTTGAGGTGTTTGTTCAAAGAATTTTTAATATCTTATGTGAGCCACAGCAGCATTGATTTCTCATCCAAGATCCGTTCTGCATTAGCAGAGCCACTAGGATTGAACCGTTCTCCTTTGTACATGGGGAAGTGCCTCACCCACAGCCTAACAGCACAGAATTCAAAACTTTGGTGAGGGGAGGTGTGTTTTTTGTTTGCTCACTTGTTTTTTGTTCCAAACTCCAGGCTTGAATCTTTGCCCCATGGTGCAAATGGCTGAGAATCTTGTTTGTTTAAATCTGCATTCCTTTTTAAGATTTCTACTTGGGGCCCCTTGTTGTTAACCAATTTTGACCACATACGCCACGAATCATAGAATGCCCTGTGTCTGCTCCATCCTGCAAACCTACCACAAAGATGGATTTAAATTTTCTTTTGCAACCCTGCCAATCAGTTGTCCATATATACCTGGAAGCCAATTAATATTTTCTAAAGAGCCAGGTACAACGCTGCCAGGTAACATCTGCAAGTGACTTGGGTGCTCTAATAGGAACTGCACATGTTCAGCTCTTTGTGAAGATGTTTTTCGCTTGACACAGTCATCTTTGGTCTTGCTTGCCCCTCTACTCCATTTGGCAGACTGTGCACACATGTGGCTGATTTGATCTGCTTTCTGAAGGGAGTGGAGTCTTATCTTTCTCTTCGAATCAGCAGAATCGTCTTGCTAATATTAATTTGATGTCTCTTGGAAAATTCTATCCACCCACCCAAAGTGCTTTGGGAGGGGAGCTAGGAAACAATTCTTTATGTTTTGGGACATTTTCTGATAATATTGTACACCTAATCTAAATTATTCAATAGAGACCTGTCTGAGGATTTCATGTTTCCTTTTTTAAAAAAAATGCAAAGATGACAATTTTTTGCAAAGAACATACTTGAGTTCCTAAACTTTGAGGGCTGAGGACTTGGGTTCTAGTCACGTAGCTCTGCAGTTAATGTGCTGTGTGACCTTGGGC